GGCTCCATTAAGCCACTCAAGTACTATGTAGATCGATTCTTTAAAACCACACAGTACAACATTCCAATAATCACACCTACTTTAAAATTCTGTAATGGAAGAATTTTACATTTATCATCACTGTCTTAACACATTCTCACCTATATATTTAAATAATCAAATTCAATATGGGTAAAATGATCATTTTGGTCTAAATTACAAGACATCTCTGTTTAGATTTTGTAGATTGTTATGGAAACAAGAAACACTGTCGTTATTTTTGGGAAGTAATTCTATTTGAATTCCTTACTTTTAGTTAAGTACTTTTAATTTGTATTTTGGAACCCAAAAATGTGCCTTCAGCCCATGCCACAAACCTAAATGTCAGTCAGCCTGCACTTACATGAAACACCTAACTTAGAAACCTAATGTATACCAATCACAAACTTCCAACTCAGCTTAAATAGCTCACCTGACCCTAGAAAACAGGACCTGCTGGCCTTACAAGAAAATCCCTGACCTCCGAGGCAACCATGCTCTGTTTTGGCGTTGCTGCTTCTAATGATCTATAAAACTCCCTCTTGCTTAAAATCCCTGGAGAAGGGAAAGAGTGTTCCACTGCTTACACCCTCAATCTACAGACTGTTTTTCCTTGAATAAAGGACATCAAACTCGTTACTAAATTGTTCTAATTTTGTCATTTGATAGCACCTAATCCTCAAATTTCTTATCTAAATAATCTACCCCCAATTTTCAACTACTTGATTTTATTTGAAATTTTAAAGAAAGATTTATATATTTAGAGTATACCAAAATCAGATGTATTCTAGTTCTGATCATAATCATGAACTTTAACTTTCAATAAAATGTTATTTAAAATTAATGTTAATCACTATGTTTTATGTGAATAATACTGATAAAAAATACCTCCAAACTTAAGACTGACAGCAAATGATTATTATTAAAACCAAATCTGAATTATATTGTTGTACTGAAGGAAAAACCTCTTACTGGATGTAAATTTTTTACAGTTTAGGATGCCATTTACAATCAATAACCTGAGAAGTATGAGATACTGAAAATATTCAGTAATAAAAATATTCTTATTCCAGACTCTCATATTTTTGTTCTAATTCATTAGTTTTAAAAAATCTACATTGAGGTAATTCACATACCATAATACCCAGTCTTTTTAAAGTGCACAGTTTAGTGAATTTCAGAATATTCACAGAGTTATGTAATCATCATCATTATTTAACTTTCATCACGTCCCCATAAAAGACCACATACTCATAAGCTGCCACTCCCCATTCTCCCTGCCCCTAGTCCCTGGTAACTAGTCATCTACTAGTCATTTCATATGAATGGAACCACACAGTACATGGCCTTTCATGTCTGCCTTTTTTCACTTAGCAGAATGTTTTCAAGCTTCAGGATACATGTTGTAGCAATATCAGTGTTTTGTTCTTTCTTATTAACTAATAATATTCCATCATATAGAGACACCATATTTTATTTATCCATTTATTAGCTGATGGACATTTGGGCTGTTTCCACTTTTTGGCAGCTATGAATAATACTCTGAACATTCATGTACACAACTCTTTACATGGAAAGTGCTCAAATTTAATTTTTAGCTTTACATTTGGGTATGGTTCATTATGTGCCAAAAACCATCTTATTTTAAGGTCAAACGATGTTCTCAGCATGAAAATAAGTCTCCTAAACCACACTAACTTGTCTTGATTAGAAAATAAAATTCTGAACTGGAAAGATATAAAGACTAATTTGATTTTTATGCAAAAAATATGAAATAACATTTAGTTGAGTTGGGGTCCACATTACCTATTCCAAGTAGAATTTGGAAACATCCAGTTTACATATTCATAACTTTATATTAAGTCTGGACCATAACATTTGTAATTTAATCAATAAAATGGCATAAACTGTGTTAGAGCCAGTGTCCTTAGCAAGCTATAAAACTGTGACAACACAAGTCAGAATGGCCATCATTAAAAGATCTGCAAATAACAAATGCTGCGGAGGCTGTAGAGAAAAGCGAGCCCTCCTGCACTGTTGGTGGGAATGCAAATTGATGCAGCCACTGGAAGACAGTATGGCGGGTCCTTAAAAAGCTAAAAACAGACGTGCCATAGATCCAGCAATCCCACTGCTGGGCATATGTTCAGGGAAAACGAATTTGAAAAGATACAACTCAGTGTTCACAGCAGCACTGTTTACAATAGCCAAGACATGGAAGCAACCTAAATGTCCCATCAACAGATGAATGTATAAAGAAGATGTAGTATATATACATGATGGAATACTATTCAGTTGTAAAAATGAACTAAATAATGCCATTTGCAGCAACATGGATGGACCTAGAGATGATCATACTAAGTTAAAGACAAATACCTAATAAACCATGATGAAGAAGAGTATGTAAGTATACGTATAACTGAATCACTTTACTGTGCACCATAAACTAACACTGTGAGTCAAGTATACTTCAATAAGAAAAAAATTCTGTGACAATGTTACAAAGATCTGAAAATACATAATATTAATAGTATTAATAACATAAGTATATGTACTAGCCTGTGTTAACCATGTTTATTCACAGTACACTTTAACTAACCCCTGTATTCACAGTATTACAATAATGTGGCTACACTGATGCATTCATATATTAGGACTCCATAATTTGGATTAGTTATTCTGTTGCCACTTTTATGCTAATTTTCTTCATTCTTTATATTCTTCTCCTGTTTTATGCTACTTCTTGCAAGAAAATCTGATCTACCATAATTAGAAAGACTTCAATATAATATTAAGAAGGAACAGATTGTGTTAGCTCTTCAGCATTTTTGTATCTTTTTAATTTCTGAATGTAACTTTCTTTCAATATATAAAACTAATCTTTTTTAGCACATTGCACACTACAATATAAAAAATTATTATTTTTTTTCAGATGGGGACATTTCTATCAGTGTAATTCAAATAGGTTAAATGCAACTGTCAAGTGGGTTCTCTATATCACCAGATATGTGAATGGTGTTAAGTCTGAGCTACTCCTAAACTGCTTCCTAAATCATCAAAATACTTGTAGGCCATGGTCCTTTTAATTTTAGCCTTAGCAAAACTAAGTAGAAATATGTTTGTTAGTGTAAATACAAACAGAAAGCATAATCAGCCAATAAATTTACTCTAATGCCAAATAAAAATGAATTTGAGATAACGTAATCACTTCTCTCCATTAAGCATGGATAACCTAGAACTTCATATATTAGGATTTATTTACATGCAGTTATTTCTTGGATACAACCCTGACAGTGGTCAATATAAAAAATAGTAGCACCATTATAATACAGAGGTTTAATTTCAGATATAAAAGTATGTTTGTAGGGCACGGAAGACATGAGTTCTTCATCTTCTAAGCAAAATTCCATTACAAAAATTTCTGCAAAACAAACTATCTTCTAGCCTCTACTGATAGCCCACTTATTTTAAAGGTAGTGTTGGATATAAGCAATATCACAGCAAAGGGAGAATTTAGAAAATTCCTTTTATAACACAACACTGTAAATCAACTATACACCAGTGAAAACATTTTGAGGCAATGAATGTGTATTTGTTACACTAGTGGGCAAATTAAAGTTGGCTAATAGTCAAAGGGTAAAAAAGTAAACACCTTAGTAGTTGAGAGTGAGAGCTTTTCAACTATATTTTAAGATACAAAAAAAAGAGCTTGGAGATCAGACTGCCTAGGTTTAAATCCTGGCTTTATTACTTAGTAACTGTAAGACCTTGAATGTTTCATCTGTGCAATGGGGATTTGATGAGATAAAGAATTCAAGGGCCCAGCACATAGTACTTCGAATAATTGTTAACACCTATTATTAAGCATTTTAAGTATATATATTTTTTAATATCTTTCATCTTTGGTTATTTTCATTTTGCAATCCTTCCACCATGACTTATCTGTAAAGGTGTGTAATAATTAAGAGTGATACAGTAAAACGTAAGCTATCCGGAATGTTTGAGAAACCCAAAGAATACATTTGTAGGTATCAAAAAATAAAACAAATGGGATAAATTTATTTCCTACACTATAACATGTTTCCATGTCTTCTAAACAGGAGTATACCAGTGGTAAACTTTTTCTTAATAAATCACTATTATTATGAATATCAATTATATGTCTATGTTAAAATTTCACAATCTCTTAAAAGCTTACCAACAGGAATATGTCTGTTTGATTCCACCCAAGGATTTTTTAACATTAAGTCCATGAATAGAATTCAGGGACTGTGTGAGACTGAATTTTTAAAATTACGTCTTTATATTCACTAAATCTCCCAAGTGAAAATTAGCATTTCCTTCAATCATGAATGAAAGCACCAAACAGCTGCACCTACATATGTATCTCCAACAGAAGTCATAGATCCTTTGTATCACATTACAACTGCTGCAAACTCTGGAAATTTTATGTTTATTATTATTTTAAAAGTTTGGTCTTTATTAGAGCCTCCACTAGATCTTACTGTGTTAATAATAAAGAACTTGTACTCCCATATCAAAAGTTTTTCTTGGGACTTCCCTGCAGGTCCAGTGGTTAAGGCTCTGCTCTCAATACAGGGGGCCCCGGTTTGATCCCTGATCAGGTAGCTGGATCCCACATGCTGTAATTAAGAGTTTGTGTGATCCAACTAAAAATTCTGCATGCCGCAATTAAGACCCGGCACACACAAATAAATAAAAGTTTGTTTTACTTTAATATTTTGAGATTGTTTCAATTTTTTTTATTTTGTAATGCTATGAATTTTATTTTATACTTTTAAAAGCATAAATGTAAGAAGAGTCCATGGTTTCACCAGACTGCTAAAGTGGTTTGTGACTCAAAAAAGTTAAGAAAGTTGACCTCAAATTTGTCCCAGTCTGCTGTGCTCTGTTAATTTAGAATATTAACATGGTCCGTTGTCTATTCATACCAAAGTTTGTTTAGATTATAGTAGTACAAATTAGCTTCTCTGGGACTTTTCTTCATGGACCTCTTGGATATCATGCATTTCCATTGAGTAGGCAGGAATATTTCCTCCCTTGTACCTTGGCTTCTGAAAGAGCAAAACAAGTAAGAGGGAGAAATAAGTTAAATAAAAGTAGCTTCAGATACACTGAAAGTAGAAATATAAAACATTCTACTCTTCCACTTTCTAAATTAAGAGACAATAAATACTCCATTCAATAATTTACTCTGGCATTAACTGCATGGGTTCAAATTCTACTTCTATTTATCAGCTCTGTGACCTTGGGACAGTAACTTAATCTCTCTGTGCATCAGTCCCTTTATTTGTAAAAGGAGGTTAATAAGCACTGTACCTGGTACATTATAAGCACTGTACCTGGTACATTATAAATGTTCTATATTATTGTTATAGATTTGTTTCACCCTATGGCCAGTTAATGTTTGACCAATTAACATTTATATAGCACTGTAGTCCACAGTGCCCGTTCACATGCATTATGACATCTGAAGCACATAATAACCCTGTGAGAAAGGACAGTTATTACTACACCTACTTTAGTGTTGAAGGAACTAAGACAAGTAACCTCACCAGTATCACACAAATAGGAAGCAACGGAACAAGAACTCAAACCTGGATTTGTTCTCTCACTCTAACTGCCAAATCCTTTGTATCTCAGGAGACTGGTTACAATAAAGAACAAAAGAAAGCTTATTCAAGGAAGAGGGAGGGGGCAGAAGTGCCGGAGGGGGCAGAAGTGTCGGCAGGCCATGAGGTAAGCACTACGATGCTCTGGAACTCACTAGGTGGTCCTCTGAGTAATCTGTATCACCTAGGACCGTGTTAGAATTATAGAATCTCAGGCTCCACCCTGGCCTACTAAATAAAAAACAGCATTTTTGAACAAGTCCCTAGTGACTGAAGATACTAGTTTGAAAAGCATGTTCACTAATCGCTCTAGTGATGCTATTATGATCACTTGAATAATATACATTTATCACAGACCTAAGCTTACTGCTTTCCTTTTTTTAAACTTAAGAATTAAAACTTAAAAATTGAAAACAAATTTTTATATCCATTTAATTCTTAAAAACCTTCACACTCTTAAGTGGGACCATTAAGGAGCGTTAGAAAACTTGAAGCAGGTCAGTGTTTACCTTTCAATCCCTTTTAAAAATTAACGTCTTACTACCCTTTGCCTGAGATATGATATACTGGAAGGCAAAACCAACTCTCCTTTGTTTTCACCGGCAGAATAAAACCTTACATTTCTCCCCCTGGATATTTCAGATACTTTCAGTAAATATTCAGTTTCTCGGACTCCAAACTCTGATTTCTTGAATGCGTTTTTAACTTTCTGGCTCTAGGGACTGAGAGCAACAGGAAGAAAAAGGTATTAGGCCTACTCCCATACCTAAACCTTGGCGATGGTGACCAAAGGCAAGTAAACAGCCCGCCCCAATCCCTATTTTCCATCCTAATAATTCACAGTTGAGCTTAATTTCTAGGCTGCTCTAATTCCGGGGACTGGTCAATGGGCACACTCTTCTCTAGGCCCTGGTTCAGAACAGCACTAACTTTCCGCACGTGAGAGCGCTGATCAGGGGCCTGCCAGGTTCTACTTAAAATAACTTCCCATTTTGAGGGGCGACTTCTCCCAGAGGTTAATCAGTCCTGGCCGGCAGGCGAGCCAATGTCGCTCACCTGTTCCACCGGAAACTTCAAACGCAGACTCAATCTAGATTAAAGGTATCCAGTAATTAACGCATAGTACCTCCCACCGAACATTCCTGATTGGGCGCGCGAGAGAGGGATGTGTCGGCTCGCGCTCTTACCAGTCCGGGGAATTCCATTTCCTCTCCCTCCCACCAGCATAAGCATTCAGGGGCGGTGCTTCCCGGTCGACGGCCCGCCCCAGCTCGAGCCTGTGGCCCATCGGCATCTCGCGAGAACTTGTGGATTTGGGGGCGGGCCCCTACCAGGAAGAGTGCACAAAACTGCCTTTAAGTCATTGCAGCGCTACAGCTCCTGTTAACCAGCCTCGAAGTTCTCGCGAGATCCGCCTCCTCAATACCAAGTGAGGAAATTGGGGGATACTTTCGGGAGGGGCGTGGGGCGCGACCGCGCAGCTGCCGCTTTCATTACCTTCCTGCCATGGTCTCCTTCCGGTTCTCGATGCTTCTCTGAGTGTGAGGGTTTCCGCCGGTCGTCTACCCTTCCCCCCAGCCCATGACTCGCCTTCGGCCCCCGCCCTCCAAGTCCAGCTTCCGATCTGTTTAATAAGAAGGTGCTGTTCCGAAAAGGAGAAAGGGGTTGGCACAGATACGCTCGGCCCTTGACGTGGGGAGGAAACCGTCCCCCTTCAGCTTTAGATTCGTCCTGTGCTCGAGACGGCGGCGTTGGCGGACTGATACGCGGCGGTGAAGAGGCAGGAGGAGGGGGGAGGGGCGGAGCGTGGCAGCTGGCAGTAGTTCCGTCAGAGCGGACATCTTGTGGCTGTGTCGTGCGCGTGAGCCCCGTAGGGCCGGGGAGGCACCAGCTGCCGCGCGGGGAGGAGGCCGAGGCCGCAGCGTGAGGGAGGCCCCGGCCCCTCTGTACGCGTGGGTGTGGACGGCTAGGGGAAGGGAAGGGAGGCTGGCCCCCTGGCCGGCCGGGTAAGGGGAAATGCAGGCCTTCGGTGGCTTCAGTGACCAGCCTGTTGGGTGGGGTGGGGTGGGGTGGGAAGGCTAGAGAAGCCGGGGCCTCTTCTGCTTAAGAGGGAGGGGGAATGGGCGCGTCCTCGCGCCTAAGCCGGAGCCTCAGGGGCAGCTCGGGCGCGTGGGGGCTGGAGGTGGCTGGGCGGGCGCGCGCGGGAGCGCGCTGGAAGGCGGAGTGTACGGTGGCGTCAGGGGCGACACAGAATAGCTCTAGCTGCGGGGACAGCTGCACACTTCAAGCCTCTTTGCTTCCTTCCCCTTCCCGGCCGCACCTTTGAGCAGAAACCGAAAGGAGCCGGGCGTCAGTCCGGAGTCTCCTGTTTCCCCCTCCCCCCTTGCCTTTCTTTGCCCTACTGACGCCGGCATAGCGCCGACTAGGCCCCGGCTCCTCCTCTGCTGCGCCCCGGACCCTGCCCCGCACCCACCCCTTTCTCCTCCGCCTCTTCCTTTCCCACCCGGGTCTCTTCCTTTCTAGAGGCCGGGAAGTCAAACTTGCAGCCACCCCTCCGCTCTTCCCGTCATCCTCGCCCCCTCTTCGGGCCGGAGCACGGCATAGAGGCTGGCGGTGGCTCTGCCACCCCACCCACCCCGGATCGCGACCGTTTTTGAGGGACTTGGATTCGTCAGGGTCTCTGCGGAGACTGTACGAGTGCTGATTTGCTCCGTTTTTGCAAAAGGCGCCTGTGTCTGGCAGAGCCGGTGTGAGACGAAGAGACAATCCTTCCCAGCCGTTGGGATAATCAAAGAGTTTTGGCCGGACCTTCGAGCACACACCGAGATAGTGAGGAGCCAGAAGAAAAGCACAGACTATGGCGCTGAAACGGATTAATAAGGTAATACTGAGGCTGAGGGGAATAGGGTCGTGGGAGGAAAGGGAGGCTCAGCCTGGAGGAAAGCCTTGAGGGGAGCAGTATATGGAAATATTCCTCCTTGGGTCACTTCCATTGGGGATAGGGAACGCGTATATACTTTATGAAGAATGGGGTTTGAAAAGAACGGAACACTTCTGGCAAGTGAGGAGTGTTATCTTGAGTATGTTTCAATGGAATCGGTGCAAATTAGGGATGGAGAGTGATTTCAGGCGCCTCGGTTCTTCTCTAAGAAGTGTTAGTCCCCTCTGGGAGTCAGACTTGGCCAGAGACGTTCCCGCAGATGTCATGGCGTTCCTATTCTCATTGCTTGAAAACTTTGTTGTTATATCAAGGCTCTGTGCTTTCTGGAGGAAGAAACGTGGGAAACGCAGAGGAAAGAAAATCTTAAGAAATCGGCAGGTCCCAAACTTGATAAAGGGGTCAGGGTAGAAGTCTTGGCAGCTGAAGAGTAGTGAGTGAGTCTAATCAGAAAGTGATCGTCGATACTGGGCAGGTTACACAAGCATAAGTTGGGTTGGGAGAAGATGGGCTGACACAGTGTTGCCATTTCCTGTGTTTTGTAGTCGGTGCTTTTCACCCGAAGCTGTTTATCAGAGGCACACCGGGAGCTGATGTAAAACCTTTCTGGAAGCTCCGTTTTTCTTTGGTATGGGAAGAGGGGGAGGGTAGAGAGTGAGATGGCAGCACGAGAAGGCTAGTACCTATTTTTGCCTCTGTCTATTTAATAACATTTTCTGGGAAAATTGCTTCGCTATATACAACGAGGTTTGATGCTCAACTGTGGCTACAAGTTGGAAAAAATAGGGTTTTTTGAGGTTCTGGGGGTGAACGGAACCTCCACCTCCGGTGGTTTAGTCTCATTTGCTTGCTCTAACTTCTATCCCGCATTTTAAGATGGCGGCTGCTTTAACTGGTTCAGGCTCTTTCCGGCATCTCTTCTTGTAATATGAAATAATAATTGTTTAATGTTATCTTTTATATCAGACTGTACACTGCTCTAAGACCTCCTACTTAAGACTTAACTATATTCAAACTCTCAGACTGTGTTTCCCTTTTTTGTAACTTGTGTGTGTGTGATGTTTGGTTCTTGCACAATCGAGGAGGGTGGAGTATTTCCAGCTTATTTGAAAAAAATGCTGTGGAATAAATTCAGCCTTACTAAAACTAGGAGACAGAAGGTTGTGGGTTGCAAACTTTGGTTTTTGTTAGGTTATTTCTTTTAAAAGAGTTTACATGGAAGGAATGGCTAGGACTTGGCTTTACTAAAAATAGACCTGATTCTGCTTAATTTTACATTTAATGTGTGACTTTGGAATATATTTGGCAAACTGCTGTTTTATGAAAGAGAAAAGTTTAGATCGTCAATGTATTGATGTGTTGAAATGGTGAATTTTATTTCAGGCCATCATTGTCACTGTGGGTGTATGTGAAATATAAACTAAAGTTTTTATTTTTGAGACAATGGGAAAGGAGTAGGAGTTAAGACTTAAAGTAAAAAGGATTATCAGACAACTTTTTGTGACCACTTTGAAGGCCAGCAACACATTGGAGAAGCATGGTTATATTTTGCAGTATAGTTAATAAAAAGAACATAGCATTCCTTGCAAGTCAACACCTTTTTTCTATGGGAATTCATCCAGGCCACTGAGATGTGGAATGATTTCAGATCCACAGATTTTTATGCACATAGAACAGAATACTTTAAAGGAAGGTCTCATTGGTTTTTTTTCTTTTACAGGTGATACCCAGCTGCTGTGACACCACTTTAATCATTTAAAAGCTCTAGAGAGGCAATATAATGGTTAAGGGTGTGAACTTTGGAGCAAAAAAATGCTCAAGTTAGAATTTTAAGACTGGGAAAGTTTTTGTCTGTGTGCCTCTGTTATGTATGAGCTGTGAATAATTTAGTGTTTAGTATGTACCAGGCACTATTCTAGATCATACTAAGGATGCATCAGTGAGCAAAACGAATAGAGTCCAAGATTTTTTTTTTTTTGAGGATTAAATCAGTTCAGGTGTGGCTTTGAACAGACCGCCCCCCCGCCCCAGCACCTGGTACTCATACTATTACTGCAACTTTAATATTCACTGTGTTTAATTTTTAAGAGCTTTTATTAAAGAACTTTTCTAGTCTAGTACTCTTCATCAATACCATACTGTCCTTTTATAAATACTTAGAAGGTCTGTGTAATACGGAAACTGGACCTAATACTTTGCAAAACTGGAAAAAAGTGTTTATGTGGGACATTATTGATTCAGTCTATAGAAAAGTTGTGGTTTGGTTTTCAGCTGTTTAGTGTCAAAATCACATGGTCAAACTTAAAAAACCAAAAACTCAGATTGAAACAATTTTAGCACGTGGACAGCTCTGATGGGAGATGCTCTTTATTTTAGGCACCTTCTTTATTTTTAAATTTTTTCTTTCCTGCAGCTGCCCAGATTCTAAATGTTGATAGATCGGTATCCTTCCTTGATATTTTATTGAAATGCTTATTTGGGGAATATTTTTAATCAGTACTAGTTCATTTGATTAAGTTTTTTAATTTCTTTCCTGAAGCTTATGTTACAATTTTGTTCATTTCTTGGACCAAGCAACCTTATCAATCAACTCTTCTATTTTTCCTCTTGTACTTATTTGGACAAGCTGTGATATTACAAGGCTGTTAAACAACAAGAATCAAAAAATGGGAACTCCCACGTTAGTTGGTGGTGTTTTGAGAGCCATAGGCAATTTTTCTGCTCCCATTAAACAAAATAACCACTGTCCATGTATTTTGAGGAAGTTTAAAGAGAACTTTACATAAAATATAATATGAACCAAACCTGAAAGAATAGTTCATGCTTTGAGTGTTTGCAGGGTGTCAGAACTGTTTGAAGCACTTGTGTTAACTCATTTAATCTCAAGACAGTCCAAGGAAGTAGGTACAATTGTTACCTCCATTTTTGAGATTAGTAAACCTGAGGTACAGAGAGATTTAATAAATCCACCTAGGGTCATAGCATGGCAAAGTTAAGATTAGAACCTAGGCTGTTGGACTCCACAAAGTGTGTACTCTTAACCACTACATTTTCATGTTATCTTTTTAGGGGGTTGGTATTCAGAAAGGTTTCTTTTGCATATATCTTTCTGCTGATAGCTAGGTTTTAGCATCTACTGTGTATTGAACACTGTTTCTAAGCCCTTTATCAGTATCTTCTCATTTTATCCTCAACAACCACATGAGATGGATGCTCTTAACATTCCCTTTTACACATCAGGAAACGGGCGTGGAGTAAGTTCTTTGTCTTATGCTCAGATGGCTAGGAAGGGACTGAGATTCAGATGAGTCTGCTTCAAGAATTCAGACTCCTCAGCTCCTTGTGAACCGCTGCTTCGAACAATTTCAATTCCTAAATTTAATTTTGCTTCCTGAAATAACCTCTCCTCTTACTGAACCTTTAGATAATTGGGATTTAACTTTATTCTTAGGTTATAGCTAATTCTTCAGTTTAGATCTGAGCTAAGATAAGTTTTGGAAGTAGAAGTGAATTTCTTCTTTGGTTAGTATCTTCAAGGACCAAGGAAACCACTATGTGCTACTTATTTGAGTAAGGTTAACTGAGACTTGCTTTGGTTTCATCTTGATCCTCTGCAATGTTAATTCTGGTAGTTATACAAATGGGAAGTTGAATACTCTTGCTTTAGCTCTGGGGAAAGGCATCACTGGTTATGTCTATCATATTATTTGTTAACTCGTGGGTTCAGGTGTCCTTTGATACCTCAATTCTTGAGGGTTTTCCAAAGCATTTCACTATAATCTCTTTATTAAAGAAGACAGACACCAAGTTCCTAGAACTGAGATTAAGTGTTAATCAAATCCTAAATTAGGTTTTGCATTCTATTACGTACTATGTGGATTTTGACCTGGGTTACATTTATGTATTAGAATGTTAAAAACAGTTTTTAGAGAGTATAAGTACATGAGGTCTTACCAGACTTACTAAATCATTTCTCTGGGATCAGGCATAATTTTGAAATGTCCCCTAGGTGATTCTGAAGCCTCCTCTGGTTAAGAACCTCAGACATAAGGCGGGGGGGGGGGGGGGTGTCTTCGGTCATGTCTGAGTCTTTGTGACGCCGTGGACTATAGCCCACCAGGCGGCTCTGTCTGTGGGATTTTCCAGGCAAGAATACTGGAGTGGATTGCCATTTCCTTTTCCAGAGGATCTTCCGGACCCAAGGATCAAACCCATGGCTCTGGTGTCTCCTGCATTGTCAGGCAGATTCTTTACCACTGCACCACCTGGGAATCCCTAAGACATAAGGAATAGTCATTTAATCTTACTGAGGTCTTAATGTTTGGCCCAGTAGTCTAGTCCCAGGGGACAAAAGACAGGGAAACCTGTTATTACCCGTGGTACTCTCTGTTTTGAGTGAGGGAAGCAAGCGTATAAATGCATAAATTGATATTTGTCACCCTGTATAACTTTCCAAAGTTACTATAAATCAACAAA